AGAGGCAAAAACTAGCCCCACCCACCAGATCAGGTCCTTCAGCTTTAGTCTTTAGCTTCAGAGTTTGCTGTTTTAGTTTTAGTTTGGTATTCCTGTTTCTATCCCTCTCAGGTTTTCTTTACTTCCTGTTTTTCTATTTTTGTCTTTGTATTTTAGTCCCCTTTATGTTTAATTCCCTTTGGTCTGTGTTTGATTTCCCTCCATCAGAGCGTCTCTGGTTATCGTGCTGCAGACCCTCATCTCCTGTCTGCAGCATTTCCTCCCTTTAGTTGTTCGGTCTCAGTTTGTTCCTCCTGTCATTCCATCATGTCTCTCCTAGTTTCTTCATGTTTTGGATCTTTGACTTCTATTTCTTCAGTGTTGGATCCTTTTCTCCCTGTCTGCCTGGAGCTGAACCTGAACGATCTTTTCTCTGGTGTTAAAGTGGAAACAGTTTGAGGCTGATCTGCCCTTTAAATGTATGGAGTGAACTTTGTTCCATAATTATTGATTTAATTTTGATTTTGTATCCAGAAATACAACTTTGTAAAAAATACTATTCAGAAAATGTTTTGGGACTAACTTTGCTTTTTCTCTCAGATTTTGGCTTTTTACTTTTTAAAAAAAATATATATATTTTTGTATTTTTTCTTTTTTTTTTTTTTATAAAATATTTTCCATATTATATCTTCTAAAATATAATCTTTCAAATAACGTTTTTAAAAAAAATTGTTTTACAGATTTTAAACTGTTTCTTACAGATTTTTTATATTGAATTGGAAAATAAATGCAATCAATTTTGATTAAAAAAATTTAACTGTTTTCTCAGATATTTTATTTTTTTCTATTATATATATTTAAGTTACTGAAATTTTGTTTTTCAGTTTTTTTATAGATGTTATTGTTCTGTCTAATTTTTGTTTTACAGTCCTTTAATATTGCGTTCTACAATCACCTGGAATGAGGAGCTTATTTCTATTATTTCTAACAACATTGCATCGGTCGATGCGTTTCTATTGGATCCGTAAATCTCAATTCAAAACAGAAAAGCAATTCATAATAAATATCAGTTTGAAAAATTGACATTTTTCAAATTCTCAGAAAATGTTCTTTTCATAACATTTTTGCAAAATTTCTCACATTCTGCACATTTTTTATGTTTTTTTTTTGTTTTCCAAACTCAAACATCTTCTATAAAAAGCATGATGGTGACGAGCTGGAAAACAGGAAGAGATTCCAGATAATTCCATCATGGAGACCAGAGGAGTCCAGCTGATGGTGAACTGTGCAGCTATAAGATGAAAACCGAGCGCTTTACTCTACATTCAGACATCCACATGGTACAGGGTCGCCCTGGGTTTTATTTATTGAAGGTGTGTCTGCAGATAAGAAGCAGTGAGCTGCAGGAATGTTAGCAGACACCTTTGACCATGAAACAATCTGTAAACGTCCAGCAGGAAGCGTCATCACTCAGTAACCGAGCTGCAGCTCCGGCCGCTTAAAGGCCTCGCCTGCCTTTCTGCAGCGATCAGATGGGATCAGATCCTTCCCTCTGGAAACGAGACAAACGGCTGAGCAGAACTTTATTCACTCTGCATTTTAATCCAGGAGGAAACATTTTTCTCTCATTTAAACCTAAAAGCACCTTCTCTCTCCTGCTTAGTGAGCTCTTAAAAGGAGCACTTTTAAAACTTTTTGTCTACGTTCAACCCTCCGCTAAGAACAGATTACATATATACTCTATGACAGATTATCTATCTTCAGATTAAATCCTTCATGTTGATGAGAAAGATTCAGACTCTTATTTTGAAGGTCTTCACAGACACATTTTTCAGAGTGAAAGGTCACAGATCCAAGCTCTGGTTGATTAACTGGTGAAGGATCAACTCTACAGGTTAATGAAAAAGCTTCTAGATTCAGAGAGAAATCCTGAGAAACGAGCTGAAGTTTCACAGAAAAGCAGAAGACGAGACGCAGTCCTACCTGTAGAGAAGCAGCAGCTCCGTTATGATCCAGGACTGAACAGGGTGTGGTGTTTATACCCCACCGCTGTCCACACACACACACACACACACACACACACACACACACACACACACACACACACACACACACACACACACA